CTTAGTGCATAATTAACTGATATTTGAAACGACAAGTAATCGGCTGGAATCATAGTATGGATATAAGCACTAAAATACAGATACATCTCAGCTGATATCTGAATAAGATAGAACGGGCATGCTGGATTCCGCTAGTAACCATCATTTAACTATTACTTACAACTACGCATTACACTAATGAATATTTTAAAAACACAAGAAAAATTATAGCTGACTGTTCGGTGCAATTATACTGAAAGCCGAAAATAATTGTTTAGCTGTTTGGCCTTCTAATGACGTAAAATATGTGCAAATTTCGATTCATAGTTAAATTGAATAAGCTGTTTCCACACATATCTGCATACGGGTAGTACATAAAAGATTAAGAAATGAAGCAATTTTAAAACAGATAAGCCAACAATCAGTTATTGCCAAGTCAAGGTTTTGAACAGTTTCAAGAAACGGAAAAACACTTACAACGATATTGAAGTTAATAAACAGACGTTGGCATATTGCAACTATTAAAGGGAATGAAATGGGCTCCCAAATTAGGAAAAGAGGAAAAATAAATGAAAGTAAAGTAGGGATTTTTTTAAATGGAGCATAATTGTGAGTTTTTTAACTGGAGTTTATTTCAAAGTATGCACCTTAATATCTCAGAATATCGAATTTCTTTTATATTCAGAAACTCTTTCGAACTGCTACTTTGAAAACCACATAATAATTATCTCATAAATATTAAGAACTGTACCTCAAGATCAATAAATGCTGTGATAAGTGTAAGTGATATTGAAGAATGAGTGGTACATTTTTAAAAAAAATTATTGCAGTCGGAAGACTTCTTACAAAGGTTTACTATTCTCAGGTACAAATATACACTAAAGATTGAAATCACATTAAATAAACCATTTACAGATATATGAACAATAACATACCAAATTCTTTTTAAGTTCTACTGATAAAGGGGTAGTTTCTGGTTGACCAAATGGTGAGAGTACAGGTGAAACAGTGACTTCTGTCATTTGTTCTATATGCATCTGATTTTTAAATGCCATTGAGATGTCATCAGAACCCGTGAAAACACCAGCATACGGATTTTTATGTTCGTGCTAAAATTAAGCAGGAAAACATTTCCAAACTGAGAAGACACAACTTGACTTGGGAAATAGTATTTTATAAATATTTTTAAGATAATATTATTATACAGAAATTAATATAAAGATGTATATTGATAGAAACAAGACCTGGTTCAAAAGTGTGTTGGTTTGAGTTGTCACAGTTCACATTGAAAAATGGGAGTCAGCAAAGGAAAGACAAAAAAGTGATGATGACAATGAGTAATAATATTGCAGCAAATCTAAGTATAAGAAAGACGAGGTAATGAACGGAACCGATCGATAGGAAATATGACAATAAGACAAAGAAAAAAGTGAACAAATTCGTACTAGTGCGAGACTGTGAAATCTACTGCCCAAGGCCCAAATTGCACAATATTTTATTCCAACTATTTATGAAGCATGAAATTATAAACTTGACTACTGGTCATGTAGTAGTAGGAATAGTAATACTAATAGACTGCTCAAACTTAGGAGAAATTGTAGTGAGATTCAAACCTGAGACAACCATTTTCCGAATAACCATTGATGATGATGAGTTCCATATCAGGACGAAACGGCGGTCCAGTGCTTCCAGGTTTCTAATGGTGGTCTAATAGTGATTGATTGATGATTTCAATGTGTAAAAACACTGACCTCCATAACTGTAATTGAAAAAATCTCTATTTATTAATTTAGGTTATATTGGTAAGGAACTGATCATATGTAGACTAAAGAATTAGACTTTTGGTCTGTAATTCCGGAACCAGCCGATTTTCTACTGGTAGAAGATAAATATCCCAACTACTTTCAGTTGAATTAAAAATCAACTTATTAAAAGACAAAAAGTTATACTTAAAGTTTTGGTCTTCAAGCTAGTTAGTATAGGCAGAAAGTAATCAGTTTTAATTTCTCATCAGGTTTTTGTTTTTGAGAATTTTACGTATTAGGAAGTCCCATGAAATGGAAATTTCGATTACTGAAATAATGCAAAAAGAACACCATGTAAGTCTGGAGACATAATTGGGCAAACGAAATATCATAAACTCACTTTTACACTATCTAAATGCTTTTGAGCTGGATGAGATATTTCCTTACTACGTTTGGTAGGTGTTGGAATATTGCTGGATGAATAATGTACAAAGTAATTAAGATTTGGACTTATATTTGGTCGGACATACAACAAAGCAGTGAGAATATTTTTCAATGAACCTTCTTGTAGAGATAAATCTAATAAACCCTGAGTTAGATCATGTCCCTGTTATTTAAAAAAAAAGAGTAAAGTTAGAGTGTATATCATTTATGTCTATAGTAATTACGAGAATAATCAGGAATAGTAAGCACTCGCTTACTGTATGAATGCTAACAAAAAAATATTTACCAACATGATTTTAGTTGAGAGAAGCAGACAATCAATAAATTTTGAAGAGCTAACCAAACCGTGTGAGGATTAATAGATAAAAATATTACGGTTTATTACAACATATCAGTGAAATTGACGAATGTAATTAATAAAGTGGATTATTACAGCTGTGGTGTTCCGTTCTCTGAGCTGGATCTTTCGGTTGTGGAGCTTGCGATGTTCTTCTGAACAACATCAGCGCAAACTTCGGATAAAAGTGAAGTATTCGAATTTCTCCATGTTTGACCTGTAGCTTGTTCTGCTAACCTCCATCTTGATTGGTTGCTGTTGACCATAAATCTGTCGATACTCGTACCTTTGTTTTGATTGTATCCCCCTTTTGATCTGTTTCTTGATCCTATGTCACCTATGATTTTTCTGATTGGTTGATAAATTGGGTCAATGTCGATGTGTTTGTTGATTGCTGATTGACCTGAGTGCCAAGCTTCTAAACATTCTGTAGTGCTCTTTGTCCTCCCCCTATCCAGTATTTCCACACTGTTCCAATCGAATGTGTGTCCATTATTTTCGGTGTGTATTGATATAAACGAATTGTCGTGGATTTTGATTGCTAATTGGTGTTCACGTAAACGAAGCTGAAAAGGCCGTCCACTTTGTCCTATGTAGTGTTTTTCACAGTCTGAGCAATTTATTTTGTAGATCATATTTGGTTTTTCTTGTCAACATCAGATTTAAGGTCAACAGCAACCAATCAAGATCGAGGTTAGCAGAACAAGCTACAGGTCAAACGTGGAGAAATTCGAATACTTCACTTCTATCCGAAGTTTGTGCTGATGATGTTGTTCAGAAGAACAACGCAAGCTCCACAACCGAAAGATCCAGCTCAGAGAACGAAACACCACAACAATCATCCACCTGTGCTACAAATTTTCTCCAACATCTCATTATTACAGTAATAAAGAGATATTGCCAACTTTTCTATAGAGTGTAAGGATATGAAAGACTTGATGAACTGTTACTTGCGAACAAAAATTTACATGGAACCTATTTTATTTTGATCTATTTCTCTTTGGACACTTCTAGCTCCATATTATTGATCTAATAGTCGTTTGAACATTTAAAGATACTTTAAAACAGAGAAAAATAAATATGTGACACTGTCATATTGTTGAAATTAACACTTTCCCATTTAATAAAATATGCGAATATCTAAACTATGTATTCAACTTTTTATTAGACAGATTACTTAAATGAATCAAATGTGGCATGACAATTGATGCCCTGGTACGACTTGGTAATAAGGCAAAATATTCCGAGGTTTTTATTCGCTGAGTAAAGAATATGAACAACTTCCTATTCTCCCCTCAGCTACTATCTAGCATAAAAGCAAATATTTAGCAGGAAATTTTCTAAAGATAGCAAAGAAGATTGATTATGTGAACAACTTGTGCATTTACATACAATCCTACCGAATGTACAACAAAAAAAGGTTATTAACAAAGTAATGAGCCAATAAGAAGAAAACGTTTTCGTCTTAAGAATGAGGTACATATGGCTTGGGGAATTTAGACGAGAATATAAAATTAGAGTACATTTTGTTGAGTTTATGTCTGGACTATTTATAATTAACTTGATTAATATGATCTTCCAGGCTAAGTCACAGAAATCCTGTGGAAAAAAGGTCTTATAACTTTCAGTAGTATTTTTGGGGCTTAGAACAAAGAACGCTTCAAAATCTGAGAAGAGCTTTCGGATAGAAAGTATTCTATCTACACTTTGTTAAGCTTATTAATGTCAGAAATCAGTACCATCTTACAAATAGTTACCCCCAGTAGTGTATAAAAGATGAACGAAAAAATGTAAACAATTTAACTTAAAAAACATTATTAACCAAATATTGCTCAAGTCTATGGAAAACTGTTTTCGTTCTCTGGTACAAGTAATTTACATTACGTATTAGAATAAATTAATGCAAAGCCCTACCAAAATTGTTATGGTTATTTCCACTTGTTTACAGAGCACACATTCACAATGCAACGGATAAAATAGATAGTTTGTTAAGAAGCGATGCAGAATTGGGCGGATAAAGTGAGAGGAACGGAATAATGGTATACGCTAATGATTTAACCACTGGAGATAGTAAATTCAGGAATCATAACTAGACAATTTCAACCACTGAAGATAGCATATAAATAAAATAAATAAATTACCTCTTTTTCAGTAGCACTTATCAGATTTTTTATTTGGTGTCCGATTTCTCCCATAGGTATGACTGACTTGGGAGTCATGCGATTAAGTGCTCCATTTTTTGACAAAGAGTGAGGATGTGAAGATGGTGGAACCGGAAATCCATCACTGTTTATGAGTTTACCCAAACATTCGAATCCATAAAAATAAGTATTTTTTGAAGGAAACAAACCCTCACATTTTATTCGTTCAAGTAATTTAATGTATCCACTCCAGTTAGCCTAAAATAATAAGCAAGAAGAGAGATGACACAATATTTAAATCGTTTCAATAAACATAGTCTGTAATCTTTTAAAGAGTGATGGGCTGATCTGCAAACACATAAGAGCGCATACAGCTTGACCTTTTTCGCATGATTTTACACGATAGTCCATTTAAAAAACTAGATTATAACCATTTACTTCGTAAACAGTTGCTTATAATGTGGTCAGCATCATTACAGATTCTGCTTGGTGTAAGTAAATGGAAGTTATACATACACCAGCTTCGTACAACAACAATAATTGACAGAAAACCACGTCTAGCACATTAAGTCACAGTAAACTGAGCTTCAATTTACACTTAACAAAGGATGGTTACTGATGTCTCATATATCAACATACTATAATTGTGTACAAATTTTGTTCGAAAAGCTATGAAGTACTAATGCATTATTAGCACCGAAAGGTCTAGTGTCAATCAAATAATGAGTTGTTGACACTCCAGTTAGCAATCATTTAAGCGTTTTAGGAGCTGTTGGAGGGTTTCAAGGGATAGTTCAACTGGTTTACTGTCAGGTAAAAAATAGATCAGAATATAATTTGCTCCTGGGCTAGCAACTGTTTATACACGTTCATAAGGAACTTCTAAATCATTACACTTCTTAGGTTCGGACAATCTATTTCGAGGCCTTTCTAGAAATTGAGGTAGTGGTTAAGAAAGACTCATGAGTCCGACAGTATTTTATCAGATGAAATGGAACGAATGTCAAACCCGTCTTTAAAAAATTTGCAATCATTGTTGCCTAGTATTGCTATGGAGGTTTGTGATAAAACGAATCTCCGATTGTCACAATCAATAAGCAGGATGCTAGTCGACAGATGAATGTAATGATACGACGTAGTTAAATGATGGCTGCTCATGCAACTATATTACTGACTTGAATTGTGAATGATTAGAAATCAAAAACAAGATCGTTAGCCAGGTGGTTTTTTCTGTGATGAAATAACATGCTTATGAGGAAAATATGAATACAATCAAACATGATAAAGTGTTAAGGAAGTTTCAAGGGGATCAGCTGGTACGTCACTCAATCGCAAATTATTCTAGATATTGTTTCAGTATTCTACCCCAAGCTTGTCAATGTCCCCTCGGTTGTCACAACATGTGAAATGCTTCGAAGATATTTATGACAAAAAAGGCAGTTCGCGGACGTCATTTAATTTAACAGACTATGTCCCATAGGTTAGGGGCGGCCAGACAAAATCATGGCAGAAATCCATGAAGTCTCTGACAACTGGACCGAGTCATGTTGGCAGATGTAGGCTACCTGGTTGGGGTCCGCGAGATGATAGTAATAGATGGTTAGAGACCTTGAATGACAACTCAAAATCGTTTGCGATGGCGCAGGTGCATCCACTCTGTGTTTACTCAAATCCTAATCTTCTGGATTCGTCAACACCTTTACCTTCGTCTTTCGAAACTTATCTCACTGAATTATACTTCTCGAATAATATATTCAAATCCTAATCTTCTCCGTTGCCAGTAATACTTGTACTATCTTTACCACTCTGGGATTTGGATTGACGATTGCATCTCTGTGCTTATGTGGTATGGCAACCTGAACTGATGTACTTACGTACAAAGTTCTACGTTGTAATTGACTGACTGACTGACCATGTTCTGTAGCCAAAAAGTAGTACACAGTCGGCTAAATTCAATGTCCGCGACTGGCTTTTATTGTTGTCTGGTTTTTATGAGCTGGTACAACTGAGCATTGCCTACCGCCTAAGCACATATTCAACCTATTCGCTTTAATATTAACCTCTTTAATATTTCGATGACTCAGCCATTTCCTTATGTATATATATGTACATTTTAATCTTATTAATTCATTCGCCGATTCGCTCACTCGCTTGCTCTTTGGCACTCGCTTATTGACTTTATCTGTGTGACTGTGGTCTAATTGTGGTGTGCCAAATAAACCTACTCTACACTTCATATTCGTCTTCTGACTTACAAACCGTGAGGAGCTATTTAGAAACAGTTGTCTGGACGAGCAGCATACGAAGTCTACGAACATATCGAATACCGATCGCCACGAAACTTGTGAGGCACCGGCCACCACAACTGTGAGGTTTTTTTTTTTTTTTTTTTTTTTTTTTTTTTTTTTTTTTTTTTTTTGGACTGAAGTTTCGAATAAAGGCTGAGATTTCAGGTTGTAGATATTTTTTCATTACTAACCATCCGAACAGAAACATATTAAATTATATAGTAGTTTATATCTTTATTACGAATATTTACTCATCAAATGCGCGTAAGATAAACGTGTTAGAGGAAAATTCAGTAGGGTACAAGCTTTTGACTACTGAATTAGATGATGCAAAAATAGAGAAACTGAATAACTTACACTTTTTGCATAATGATTTGCTAGCTTTTCGTACACCAGTGAGGACTGTATAACATACCCACGTTGAAATCCTTTAGGTGTTCGTGATTCTTTGTAAGCGGAATCACAAAACCGTAGGAAATTAAAAACCTGAAATCAGATTACGGAAAGTTAGATTTTACGAAATATATTATGCACAAATTATTACTTGTCTTTGAGAAAATTTGCTTGGTAAACTATCATGGCTTTTTGAATTACCTCTGCATACAACGCAGATACGTTTGCACAGTCTAGGAGAATCACAAATGCGCCTGTAAGTTGTTATCAAGTTATATATAGATGTCGCGACTAATGAGCAAATAACATATTCGTGTACTTGATTATGAACTTAACTATGCATGATAGGACTAACAATACTATCCAACTACCCAAACCGCAGTAAATAGGGTGGCACTCGAACTTGTGGCCCAGTGGTTGAAAGCCAAATGCCTTAATCTCTAAACTACCATTACAAAAGTAGCATTTAGTTGTTTAATTGCAACGAACTAAACTACACAAATATTTAACGAACTGATCTCGAGATTCGGAAAAATCTTTCGCGAGGAATCGGAAAAGCTTTCATATTATTTATCTGGAACTAATTATCGAGGACTCCAATCACAACGGACTAATTCCGTTTTGCTTTACAAATTAGTGCATTTAGTCAGCTTTTGTGATGTAATATATTGGAACGTTCTACTCATTAAAGATGATAAAACAGTCATTTAATCAATTAGTCAGCTCACATCCTGGGCCGTTTCAAGGTTACGAAAAATAATTAAGTCTTAGTAGCGCAATGAATCTGCTAAGTGACAATGCTATGAAAATTAAACTTGATCGCAATACAAAACAGTAAATCAAAACAGATACTTTTTCCGTTTCAAACACATGAGTTGAACGTTTCCGAATCTATTCCCCGCGATTTCAAAATGTTAATAAAATACAGGGGTTTCTATTTGGTTTCACGGAGAAGCCGACTACAATTTGAATGTCTAAGGTCATACAGCATGATATCTAAACATAATTTTAAGCTTAACACCTAACCACCGAAAGACATGTGGTAACGGTATGAGAAAAGTGTATCGGCTTAGTCTGATTTAACATTAACTACAAAATGTTAGATTTACAGATAAAACGATAAAACACTGACCTCTCCTGACGCAATACTTGAATCTAAGAATGCCTCGAGCCTGATGTTGAAACTAAATATTTTCAGTAGCTGCGCAGAGAAGCCATGCGGGAAACTAGGTTCTGAAACATGGTTAGCCAGAAAATGTGTGTCCTTTTCTAGTTCTATTTTAAGAACATGAGACCACTCAGGAAAATTTGCCATCCAAAACTGTCTACAGCATTTTATGATTTCCTGAAACCTAGGGGGAGTATGCTTTGAGGTCAAAGCATACTCAGATTGTTTGATAAGGATAGCCGCATTAAGAGACAGCTCATCATACTGAAGATCTCTTCCCTGAACACTTGGAACTTGCGATTTGCATTTTCGGGAAAAGCCACGATTTCTAAGTTCTAAACGGCTGATTAATATTTTTTATTTGACATGCTCACTTGATGATGCTTCATGTACATACGTCGTATATTTAAGCCTAGTATTAATATTTAAAAGCCGATAGGACAAAGAAGACATAAAGTTGATGTGTTTTCTCTGGAAGCGAACCCAATCAGCCAGACTTATTGCAGTGATTTGCGTCTAGCCAGAAGGTATTTTTGTATTGTAGAAGCATGCAGATTAGTGAGTGGGGAGAGCTGGAAAAGAGAACGGAAGAGTTAACGGCCCAACACACAATATACCTACATCTATTCAGAAAAGCAATAGGTAACAGTCAGCAACAACATTAGAGCTAGATTGGGATAGTTTGGAAATGGAAACTAGAAGCAGACGTTGCGAAGTTCCTAAATCGCAACATCTATGAATAGGCACGCGATGTAACGCTGGTTCCGAAATTTCTTTGCAGGATCCAAGGATAACCTTCGATATCCAATATTTTTTTCACTTGCTAGCATAAACCAACTGATTTCTTTGCGCTCAATTCTTACTATTTCGATACGGTTCCAGGTTTTCGTTAGTGTCCACTTAATGGGTCTAGCCACTCGACTGTCTAATTCTAGTCACTTAGCCTTTGGTTGTGAGTTTGCATGTCTCGGGACTTGAATGAAAACGTTTGTTTCAGGGAAGTAGGGTTTCTGGATACCAGCAGCTATCACATAACCAGACCGGAGATCAGTTAGTTGCAATGTGAAGAATAATAAGGATAAAATTCTAATGCAATTATCAATAAAATTTCAGAACTAAGTAATATATATATGATGTAGTTTATTACTTGGTAGTGAAGATTGTGAGAAAGGACTGAATTGTAATCAAGGGAGAGGAAACAGAGATAATAAGCGAGATGGATTAAGTTAGTGATCTGAGGAAATGACAATATTAACAGCTAGCAGGTCCCAAGATATGCATCATGAACAGCTTTTTCAAGAGGGAGACGATAATCCTTATGTGAGTACGTGATTACCAAGTCTGTTATTAAGGCTGTCTACTTGGGGGGCTGTGGTCACCTCGGCCGGGAGAGCATTCTAAGTTGCGACGACTCGTAATGAGAAAAAGTGTGCACAAACCTGAGTATTCGCTCTTTGATGTGCAGTCTTTCGAGGATTGCCTCTAGGGGAGTGGTGGTGATGCATCGGTAAGATGCCAATGTTGGGATGGTTTGGCGTGCTTAATATGTTGTACACCATATTCAGATCACTTCTGATCATCCTGTAACTCAGTATGAATAATCACAATTACTGGAGTCTATCTTCGTAAAATTTATTTTTCAACCCTATCACCCATTTCGTTGCTCGTCTCTGCACTCGATCCAAGAGATTTATTTCTCTTTTGAGTAGAGGGGGTGCGATGACGTCGTGAACTTCCAGGTGTGGGCGCGCATACGTCTTAAATAGTGTTGAGAATAATTGTGTGGTTATAACATCAGGTTGTCTTCGCACAAAGTAAAGAGTCGCATTAGACTTGGCTGCGTCCCCTACATAGTTTGGACTGGTGTGGAGGCTTTCGGTGGTTATTAAACCAAGATCGCGCTCTGAAGAGACATTAGGGATCGGACTTCCGTTGAGGGTGTAAATAGTTTGCATCATGTGGGGCAGAATGCACATGACGTGGCACTTCGGTTGGTTGAGTGGGTCAGTGAAGCCCATTTCCATAACCTTTGCGATTCGGCGTGCGTGGGTTACTGTGTCAAAGGCTCTTGTGCTGTCGAGATAGATTACGTGCACCGGTATTTTACGGTCTAAGCAGGTTGTCCAGCTGTCCCAGTAGTCTCGGAATTGACTTGATTTATTCAGTTTATTTCTTAGTGCTTATTTCTCGTTCCACTATCTAGCTGCTCGACCGCATTAATGCCAGTAAATTTGGTGATAACTAAAAATTTGTCTGTAATGTGATTTGTGTTGGTGGGTTTTTCTCAGTTCCCTAAGGGTTCTGGAAACTAGCAGCTATCATATGGTCATGCATTTTGGCGGAGACCTTTGAGTTCCCTAGTTTTGGTCGTGGGTTGTTTGGCGAGAACTAAAGCTAAGAGATGCTGTATTATCTAGCCAGCGTAAAGTCGCCACAGCCAATGTTATGAAGTGTTCAACTATTTCGTGGTCAATCAGGGCTACAGTGAGTGGCTTAAAGACTGCTAGATAAATGATATCGAGAACTTTATATTGAGATAGTTAAAGGTATATGGGAATCAGATGAGGGACGAAGCCGAAGAAGTTGTGTGATTCACTTGGATATTTCGTTATTGGCACAGAGAATGGGATGGTGTGTCATCAAGGTTGGTGGTATTGAGTTAAAAATTACACCACTTGACAGTGCTAGAATTGTTGGCAGGCAGTTAACCGAGCCGCCTACAGAGTAAATGATAGCAGTCGTTTGGTAAAGAAGCTTAAAGAGATAGAAAGAGTCGAGAGGACGCATCCATTGTTACTTGAAACGT